TTTCTTCTTATCTTTTTGCTTTCTTTTTTCTTCTCTCCATTCCTTCCTTTTCTTATTTTTTTCTGCCTCAGGCATTTCTGATATTTTCTTATAATTATATTTATATTTTATTCTGTCAAGGTTTTTCTTTCGCTGTTGTTCTAGTTTTTCGGGGTTTAATTTTAATCGCTCCCTATAGCGTCTCATCTTCTCGGCTGAGGTTGACGGCATTTTTTTGATAAAATGTTATTAAAAGTATTGCTTGTATAAAAAACAATATAACTGTTCATATACCTAAATAAGTAATAAATTCCTCAGCATTTTCCATTTATTTCACCTGCAGACAATAGAATACAACTTATTTGTCAACTGTTTGAAAATTGTACTTTAACACTTTTGCTACTCATCATCATCATCATTTCAGCCGACTCCACGGAAAATATCGAAGTTTAGCCAAATCAGCAGTTAGCTGTAAATGTTAATTAACTAACGGGGCTGTGGGGAGCAAACGAGGCTGAAAAATTATTTTTTTAAACCCTAAATCCATATCCTACATATTGGTTATATGGAATATGATTGTAATAATAATGTCCTGCAGATCGAATTTCGGCCACGGCGGCCTAACTTAGCGGAGGCTAGCCATCGATGCGGGACAGGATTATAGTGCCAAGTGTATGCACAAGCACAGGTGCACTCTCTATTCCCTCACTATCATAATCCGATGGGACGGTAAACCGACACGACCGGAGAGAGATCAGGCGCAGGACCAACGGCTCAATTTTACGTGCTTTCCGAGGCACGGGGGTGAAACACCGCCAATTTTTAGTGTAGAGCCATAACTGACTCCGGGCAACTACTAAGAATTTCTTAACGGAAAAACTCAATAATTAGTTTTTTTAAGGCCCAACCCGGGATTCTAACTCAGGACCTCATGATCAGAAGTCGTACTACTACAATAACTAGACCAACGAGGCAGTCAAATCCATATCCTACATATTGTTGTTGTTGTTGTATGGAGTATGATTACCAGTGAGAGGGTGTAAGCGAACGAGTTTTGCACTGTCTAACCCGCCTGACCAGCATGTTAAATATAAATTAATATACAAATTGTTTTGCCTTTAGGTAAATCCATTTGTTTATTAATTTATAATTGTATTAACTTACATTAACCTATCTCAATATATTAGCGAGCTAGCAATGCGGTTAAGCGTAATAAATTAAGTCAATAATTAGCTGTATAGTACTACTAACACTCATAGGCTATCAATAATTAATATACATCGCTAATAAACATCGCTAACCCGAATGTTTATTCTGATTTTCGATTTTCTAAATCTGTCTATATGTGTATATGCAACTCTAATAATATTTATTTATTGAAAAACAGTTTTAAAATCATGTTAGTCAGTCAGTTAATCAGTTAATCAGTTACGCTAGTAATATATAATATGTCTAATAATAATGGTATCATTATACTTATTGAAACAGAAAGTAGGGTGAGAAACGTGCACACAGTACACCTCATGATAAGTGCATGCCTTGGCCCAAAGAGTTATATACCTATTAACTAACTACAAAGGATCAAAATGCAGATGCGTTGTTACTCCATGAACGAGTCTAGTCATTTGTGCTACAAACAATATACACATAAACTCCATTTAATGATGTTTTATGCTATATTATTGAAGTTTACATATTGATAAACATATAAATATTAAATTTGCAATTACAATTTTTAATAATGTCGGCTATAACCCGGGTAGCCCGCGTTGTTTGAAATTTGTGTCGAGCGCTAATTAAACCACAAGCTACCGACTTTATTTATTTATAACATAATTTTTCATTTGACCTACATATTCATTACTTGACGCCATAATTGCTTCTATACGCCCATTCCGTTTAGCCCGGCCCGTCGTATTGTACAATCTTTAAAGTTAAATTTACAGCCTATATACGTCTCATTGCTGAGCACAGGCCTCCTCTCATGTCTGAGAGGGTTTCAGGACAAGGAAGTGTCCACCGCGCTGCCCCAATGCGTGTTGGCGGACTTCACATCATGTCTTTGATAAAAAAAAATCTTATTTATCTGACATGCAGGTTTTCTCACGATGTTTTCCTTCACCGCCGTGGCAAATCAGGACTTAAAATTGCAATTAACAATTTCATTGGTGCCGGCGGGGACCGAACCCAGGTTCTTCGCGTACTGTGAAATTTACTGCGAGCACTAACCATCTGAGCTACCACGGCTTACAATCTTTATTGATAATTAACCCTTACATAAGTAAAGTTAAGGACTTATGTCATTGCTTGACTACTATCCCTCCTATTGGTACGATGTATATAAGACTCATCCAATCAGCGTATTTGAATACCGCCAGGTTATTGTTGAGCTATCAACAAGACGCATCAAGGGCAGGAAGATTACCGCTTGTAGAAAAAGTTACAAAGGAATCCGTTTGGGTAAGTCTCTTGTTATATATTAATTCCACCAAATTGCTGTACCTTTTATCTTTAACTTTTCCTTTTTCTCTTTACCTTTAACTCTTTACCTTTTCTCTTGTTTTATCCCGAACGAATATGTCAGCCCTATTATACCCTTATCCTGCATTTTAATTCCTGATTGCAGATAGATGTAGATGTTTTTGGGCCATAGCATTCACTTATACTTACACTTAGAGGTAGACTGTGTGTTCGTTTGCCACCCATATTCTATAAAAAAAATATTTCACTGTACAGACACACTTCATTTTTATTTAAATGAATAGATTTAAATGAGTGAGAGATGTTAATAAATACCGTGTTTAACAAATGTATAATAAGAATCACTAGTATAAGTTAGTCATCGATTTCTAAAAACACTTAAGTATATTGTATGAGATTATACTTTTAACGTTTTTAATACCCGCATACTTTTTAATGTAGTCATTCTTACGGAAAGCCTTAAAACTCATTTCTTTTGAGATTGCGATTGCCCCCATGATAGATGCTTAGGACCAGTTTCTTAATTAAACGGAGCCTTTTAAAAGATAAAAGAATCTTTTTTAAATTTCACATTGGGTCTCGTTGTTTTATAAAATGATACTTATTTTACACTCTTTTCTGCATTATGATGATTTTTTGATAAAAGTAATAATGCCAAACCACACAGTCCAACTAGATGGTAATGCAGTGCTATGGCGTATAGACACCTTATCATCCCTTAATAATCAAAATGCAGATAAGAAGTCATACTCATGGCCCTTTACGGGGCCCCGGTGTGGGCGCGTGGTTTGGCGCGGCTTGCCGTCCACCACCTGAACGCGCCCCAAAGGGTGGTTGCCGTGAAAATGGTTCGCGGCTACCGCACGATCTCCCGCGAGGCGGCGAGCCTACTTGCCGGATTGGCGCCATGGGATCTGGGCACTATGCCGGGGGGAAACCCCGCTGCCGCGGCAAGATGTCGCGCAGCGGACAGACTTCCGGCACGATCTCCGTGCTGGGCACGCCACTATAGCGGCGATAAGACCCCTCTTTGAGGAGTGGCTTGAGAGACGCCACGGCATCCTCACCTTCCGCCTGACGCAGGTCCTCACCGGACACGGTGTGTTCGGGAGGTTCCTGCACCGAATCGGGCGGGAGAAAACGCCCGGGTGCTCCCACTGCGAGGATGGACCGGAGGACACGGTGGAACACACCGTGGAGGTGTGCCCTGCTTGGGCGGAGCACCGCCGTGTCCTCGTAGCGGCGATAGGCGGCGGCGACCTCTCACGTCCGGCCCTGGTCGAAGCCATGGTCCGGAGCGAGACGGAATGGGATGCCGTCACCACCTTCTGCGAAGCAGTGATGCTAGCGAAGGAGGTGGCGGAGCGGGAGAAGGAGAGAGCAGCAGCGTTCCTCCCCGGCCGCCGCGGGAGACGCCCTGGGCGTCGGGGGCTACGTCGTGACCCCCCGCCCACCGTAGGCGCGGGACTGTGGACGGCGAGCAATGGGTAGCTCGCCGTCCGTCCGTCTAACGACGATAGGCCCTGTCGACGGCGCGTTTTGTTCCATGCGCGCCTCAAATAGCTGTCAGCAGCGTGAAGGGGCCCGCAAGGGCCGACGCCTGCCGGGGCTGCGGGCTGTTCGAAAGAGATACCGCAGCTCCGGAACGTAAGGGCACTGAAGGAACACGGATGGTTTTTAGTCAGTAAAAGTCTGACACTCCCTTACGCTCCACCCAGAGCGAAAGGCGTCATTAGATGATTTTCCACCCGCAAAAAAAAAATTCATACTCAAACATTAAGACAGAATATGTCGTTACCAATTTAGTCGTCTTCGGTTTTCTATACAGTGTAGACTACACTTGTCACGCGATCCAGTAGCAACTAGTGTTGCCCAATTGCAAGAACAAGACGAGACTTAGCCAGTCTTGGTCTTGGTCTTGCGCCAATACACCTGGTCTTGTTCTTGGTCTTGGTATTGCGCTCTCAGTCCTGTTCTTGGTCTTGGTCTTGCAGCAAGAGTATCGCAAGTCTCGAAATTAGCTATTAGCCTATTGTTATTTATTAAACGTTTCTTTAGATCTTAAAACAACTTAATAGAGTAGGCACATTTTGAGCTTGAATTAACATAGCCATAGAAAGACCAACCAAATCATTAATGTCTAAACATTTAATGAGAAATTCGAAAAATCAACTAATACCGGGTGGGGTTTAAACCCACGACCTAAGCGATCCGTGCCGATGCTCTAACCAACTTAGCTGTTTACCAAGTCTCACGGCCACGGGAGTTAGTCTGTTTCTTAACCCTAGACACCTAACCTTCGTCGATTTGACGAGTACGCGACAAAAAATTCGCTGTCTTTTTTCGGAGCGTGCCGCGATCATAGCAACGTTGACCGTCAACTCATTGTTCACCGAGCTCTTCTGGGAGGCGTTAGGGTCCAGCAGGTAAGTACAATATTTTTCGAGATATTACAATAGTGCTCGTCGTTTCGACGAATGGTTAGGGTTTGTGTATACTTTCGCAACTAATTTTGTTTTTGTTTTCTTGCAGTTTTTATCATGACTTCAAGACAATTGCTACCTGACGAACATATAGCACGTTTTTTATTAGAAGAGGAAGATTTCAGTGCTTCGAAGGAATTATCTGATAGCGAAACTGAAGATAACCTGGAGGTGGATGCTGTTGAAAGTGATAATCAGACAGAGGAGTCTTACGGTTCTTCCGACGATGAACTTGTTCAAGAGCAGATTTCTCTTGCTTTGATGGATGATGTACTGGAACCACAAACACCTCATCCACATCCAGAAGTGAGTTCGGGTAATGATCCAAGTATATTATCCTTCTCAACAAGTACGGTCCGCAGTCGGTCTCGCCATGTTTGGGCAACTAGCAAAGGGCGTTCTTCCAACAGAACAGCAGCAATAAATATTGTACGTATTGCCAGGGGACCAACTCGCGCACTAAAGGATATTGTCGATCCAGTATCTCTATTTGATCGGTTCATGACTGATCAGATAATAGATGAGGTTGTAAAATGGACCGATAAAAAAACAGACCTATGCGCAAATAACTTCTACGCAAAATTACTCTGGCAAAGAGGAGATCAGAGCTCTATTGGGTATCCTAGTGTTAACTGCAGCTCTGAAAGACAATCATCTGACCCTTGATGAACTGTTCAATTCAGAATATTCTGGTACAAGATATGTATCGTGTATGAGTAAAGAGAGGTGCGATTTCCTTCTGCGATGTTTACGTTTCGACGATAAAACATTTCGCTTACAACGGCAAAAAGACGATCCCTTTACGCATATAAGGGATATATGGGAATTGTTTATGGTTCAGTGCCGTCAAAATTATGTTCCTGGCACAAATGTTACAATAGATGAGCAGCTGCTGGCATTCCGGGGGAGGTGCAAATTCCGGATGTATATTCCGAACAAACCCGCTAAGTATGGAGTCAAGTTAGAAATGATGTGTGATAGTGGCACAAGGTACATGCTGGACTGTATGCCGTATCTTGGAAAAGGAACCAATACAGGAGGTTTACCTTTAGGAGAGTACTTTGTAAAGGAACTTACTCGCAGTATACACGGCACGAACAGAAACGTTACCATGGACAACTGGTTCACCTAAGTACCACTTGCAAAACAGTTACTTCGACAACCTTACAAGTTAACAATTGTGGGGACATTACGATCTAATAAAAGAGAAATCCCGGATGAATTGAAGAACCACAGAACGAGTAATGGAACCAGAAGAGTCAATAAGTCAATGTTCGTGTATGACGGACCCATTACACTTCTTTCGTACAAACCTAAACCTTCGAAAATGGTTTACATGCTTTCTTCTTGTGATGAAGAGGCCTCAGTCAACCCAGAAACAAAAAAGCCACGCTTGATTGAATTCTATAATAAGACAAAAGGCGGTGTTGACACATTTGACCAAATGTGCTCAGTAATGTCATGCAGCAGAAAAACCAATCGTTGGCCAATATGCGTCTTCTACGGTATGATGAATATAGCATGTATCAATAGTTACATAATTTACTGCCACAATGCCTCTGTACAGGGTCAAAAACTAATGAACCGTCGTGACTTTATGAAGAAGATGCATTCGCAACTTGTAGAACCATGGCTGAAAATCCGACTGGAAATTCGTACCATGCCGACGCACATCAAGAATAAAATCGCAAATATATTGGGTTCAGGGCACGATGAAGGTCAAGGTCAGAGTCAGCCACAATCCAGCAACGATCTTCAACCAACAGAGGCACCAAATAGTAGAAAAAGAAAAATCTGTGGTCTATGTTCATATACCAAAAGGCGCATGACAAAGTCATCATGCGCTAAATGTAATTCAGCAATATGTGGGGAACATAAAGTTGATTTTTGTTCAAAATGCGCTGTACAAAATTAGCTTTTTTTCTATTTTTCTAAATAGTGTGTAATGTTATAATTTAGGTACGCCAAAGAAAAAAGGCTATTTTTTTGTTTTTGTTTTTTATTTTAATTTTTATAAATATGTTGTCTTCAGTGATCTCATAAAAGCTAATGTCTTTTTGTAAGAGTGATAAAATAAATATAATTAGTAATAATACAGAAATTCATTGTTTCATTTTGTAGAATAATAGTTGGACCTAGTATTTGTGTAATACATATAACAAAAAGTTATATTATAACTTGAAATCAAAACACCCTAAAAAGTATTCGTCGAATCGACGAATGGTTAGGGTTTATAGGGGGCAGGCAAACGTTAGGTGTCTAGGGTTAATAAAAGTTTACATTTAATAAGCTTACATGTGCTAAAACTTAGTCAAAATATATAAAAAATAAATTAAAGACATTAACTTGACTGTATTATTAAGAACATTATCTGTCTAGAAAGAGATTGATAGACCCTTATATGAAATGGAATAAAAGAGTTATACAATTTACCATTTATTTAAATAAAAAATAAAATACAATACAAATTAAATTACATAACAGTACACAACAGCTTTGACATTACTGTTACTTTATATTAATTCTTTTGACCAAGAATTAATACAAAGTAACCATCTGGCTGACTCATCACTTAACCTATTTCTATGTTTTCTAATTACTAATGATGCTTTAGAAAATAATCTCTCAGCAGGTACTGAAGTTGCAGGTATTGAAAGAAAATCATGGGTCATTTTCGATAAAGTCGGATATTCTGTCTCATGCGTCCTCCACCACTCTAAAATGTCTTTTGAACTGGCGGCTCTGGGTTTACTTAGGTACTCCTCCAACTCGTCTATAACTAAGCCTTGATGAAGAGATCCAGAGCCAGATGACGTCGAAGGACATGCATATAATTTCTCAAAGTCTATTACGTATTCATCTTCATCATATTCACATACTTTTTTTTCATTTCTTGGTGATTCTAGATATGTATTCACTGAGTGTAGACTTTTATATTCTTTATAAAGTTTATTAAATTTGCGCAGGTTTTCTGTTTTAATTTGCTTCCCCCATAATGTCATGTCAAAAGTCTGAGTCTTATGCCTTGGGTCTAAAATTAAAGAGGTACAATAAATCCAGTTGCTCTTTTTATAATGTTTATTAAGCACTTTGTCTCGAGCTGCTTGAAAACCCAGAATGAGCCTTTCATTCACTTCGGATCGACTAGGTTTCTCATCTAATTGTTTTACCATGGATTCAATTTTATCGAGCAAGAGATTGAATGATACAATGAATAGCGGTAATGTAACATATTTTTCTCCACCAAGTTTCGTTGATAGAAGTTTAAAGTTTATAAGAAACTTATGTATTTTTTTCGAGTATTTGCCATTCACTATCTGTGATTTGAAAATCATTCAATTCGGTGACAGAAGTGCACAATATGTTAATGCCAGTTCTCACTTTTAAACCAAATCCAATCATATCATGTGTGGAATTCCATCTCGTTGGACAGTCGAGTATGGGGTTCAGATTTGATGGCACGCCAGCTGCTTCACAAGCAGACTGAAACTTCCTCTTCAATATCTCACTTCTTTTTATTTTACTGGAAATACTGCGTAATTTTGTTATAGCTGTACGTGAGTCAGCAATATTTGGCGCATATTCTTCATCTTCCTCAGTTTTTGTCTTCATTATCTTCATACTGCTGTTCTTGTCCCTAATTGTCAGTTTCACTGTGTAATGCTAAGGTCTTTAATAAATCTTGTACACCAAGGTTCAAAATGTGAGCAAAGCACTGGATTTGTCCAATCCATACATAAATTTGGTTTTGCAGTTGCGTTGTCGACCGTGATACCCTGTGTTTTATCAATGATGTCATATTCCAATAAAAATTCGTGGAAAATCGTTGCAATATCTTCTCCAGTATGTCGACCGCGCGATGGTATAAAATCAAGGGCTACAGATCGATACTTCCATTCGTTGTCTATATAATGAATAGTGACCCCGTAGTAACTCCTACCAGCAATTGACGTCCATCCATCAATGGTAAATGACATTTTAGATGAAAATTGTTGTAGTCGTTTCTTAAGATTCAATTGAAGCTCTTCAAACCGTTCTTTGACCTTCCTTCTAAGTGTGGACTTTTAGGAAACACCATATTTAAGCAAATTGATCGAAAATATACTTGTGTAGCTTCGTGTTCGAAAAATGAGAAGGGAAGATATTTTTTAACCATCCAATCAACTGTAGCTGTCGTGATGTTTTCACTGCTATTTTCAGACTGAAATAAAACAGTAAATCATGTGTCTCGCCGATTATAAAAACACATGAAAATATGTGTGAATTATAAATATATATATAAATATAAATATATATATATATATATATATATATATATATATATATATATAAATATATATAACTACCACTCACTGACTGACTATAACCATATCTCAGGATCTATAAAACATAAAAACTTGAAGTTTGTAAGGTAGGTTCCTTTTATGGCATAGAGATCGGTTAAGAAACGGTTTTGAGAAATATATCCCTAAGGGAGTGAAATGTTGGAATAAGTTAATAGTTGGAAGTTTGTATGAAAGTCCTACGTTTTTGAAGTTAGAGACACGAAAATTAGCATTAAAGTTATACGTTTTCAATAATAAAATCCTGAATAAGCTGTTTTACGAAATCCTAACCCGAAGGGGGTGAAATTGGGGTAAAATGGTTACATGCAAGTCCTATTATTTTAAAGTATAGATATGAAGATCGACATTTACTTTATTAGTTTTAAATAATAAATACTTGAATAGTTAAGCTTTACCTATATAGCCTCTTTATACTTAGGTAAGACTTTTGCAGCGAGAAAATTTCAAAATCTCATAGGAAATCAGATATTGTACGCGGACGAAGTCGCAGGCGGCCGCTAGTTACATAATATATGTGTTATGTAATTGTGTGATAACTATATTTTTTCTTACCTGTCCAGTTTTTACGGTGGTTATTAAAAGCTTATGATATCTCCACTTAATTTTGGTTTTTCAGGAAGAAATATTTGTGATTCCTTTTTGTGGAAAGATATTAGATGCTTCCTTAAGCCTGAAGTGTTTCTGTTTTTCATTTTTATTTCAACCTTTTTATGTTAATATTTACACAAAGCAATTTGGGATGCATGAATTATGTCGAAAAACTCATCAAATTTACTTTTAGGTCTTTTAGATCTATAACTCCAACTCTCACTACTCCGACTAGAACTATTCGACTCTTCGTCACTCATGTCAAATTGTAAACTTATCACTCCGAGAACAACAAGGATTAGAGTAAAAACAATTAATACTTTAGATTCGAAGCAAAGCTCAATTGGGAATGACTGGAATTAAAATAAATACTACTATTTGTAGGTACACGCCGAAAGACCGGCAAAGGAAAGTTCGGCATCCTTTGATCATTATTAATGATTCTTCAGAAGATTAATAAAGTAGATGCGTTGCCAGATAGGTATAGTGTGCTTACGTAAAAATGAAATGTAAATATGTAAATAAAATTGTGTATATTATGTTCTTCTTATGATTGAATTAATATTATACGTGGTAGAGCCATGCTGCAGTTATATTAGTAGTATAGTTGTAGCACGAATGGGTCGGCTCGACCGGGGAAGGACCACGCTCTCACAGAATACAAGCGTGAAATAGTAGCTTAATGCTGCTGTATTTCGTATGGTGAGTGTAGAGAACCGGAGACCCTTTTTACTGGAAACGAGGCATTCCATCTCAGTCCTCACGGGTGACAACGCATCTGCATTTTGATTTTTAATGGAGGATAGATGTAGATGTCTATGGGCCGCAGCAACCACTTACCATCAAGTGGACTGTGTGCTCATTTGTCACCCTATTCTATATCAAAAAAATCTACGTTAATTAAATTAAATTTGTAATAAGAAAAAACCTTCACTCGTTTGAAATTCAAAATTCAAATATGTTTTATTCAAGTAGGCATTAAAAATACACTTTTGAATAGTCCTATAATCACTGTTTTCCCCAATTTTTTCTTTTCCATGTCCAGGGGTTCTGATTCTACTGAGAAGAATCATGGAAGAAAGTAAGAAACTCAGTAGTTGCTCTTTTCAAAATATTTTTACAATAGTTCTATAATTATGTAAAGCGACAAGTCAAACATAAAATGTCAAATGTATATGTAGATACCAAATCGGTTTAGAAATTTCTAGTTAGTCCTGTGTATCGTACGAGAGGTCAGTTCCAAGCATTTTTGTCTGACTTAAATTGAAAAGGTGAAAGATCTGACATTTCTTTTGGAATCTTATTATAAAAGCGTATATCGCTACCCAAGAACGCATTATATATTTTGTGTAACCGGAAAGTAGGTATTGTGATTTTATTTTTATTTCTACTATTAAAACGGTGCTAATCACTATTATTTACATCAATTCGATGCAATCAATTTCTTTAAACGGTTCTCTGAGAGATACTCGGGCTCCTAAAAAGTACATAGATCTTATTTTACGCTTTTTATTTAATATGCACACTTTTTATATTATTCGATTTAGCATTGTACAAAATGTTTACACGTTTCAAGTGTGTTAAAAGTGTCTACAATATTTATCATATGGGTGACGATATATTCGAATACTTTGTGTTCAAAAACACACACTTCCAAAAATCGAGATTTGCAGTGAACTTATTGAACATGTTTATCTATTCATCATCATCATCATTACAGCCCTTCACAAATCCACTGCTGAACATAGGCCTCCCCAAGCAACGCCACAAAGCACGGTCCTGAGCCACCTGCATCCATCGAATTCCTGCATGTCTTACCAGGTCGTCACTCCATCTAGTGGGGGGTCACCCTACACTACGCCTACCGGTACGAGGCTGCCACTCGAGAACCTTTCTTCCTCATTGGTTATCGGTTCTTCGAGCTATATGGCCGGCCCATTGCCACTTCAGCTTACTAATCCGTTGGGCTATGTCGGTCACT